GCAAAGAAGTGATATTTCTATGGACTATGGTAAAATGTAGCAGAGACATTGATAGTGTTAATATGATGAAAAGAGATGGTAATGTGCCTCACCATTCTACTTTCCAGATCAACTTTCTAAACAACTATTGATAGTGTCAAAAGAATGTCAGCAAACAACAAATCCTTCAGTTCCAGAGAGGAAAACTTAAGAACCAATCCTTCAGTTAAAATATAAATAACATCCTTATTATTCATTGCAATATTCAGAGGCACTAAGATATTCGCCATGCTCTTCAAAATACTCGACCAATCGTTTCAAGAACCCATCACTATTCACTGTTTCAGTGTCACAGATAAGACAGCATTGTCTTCGAGCTCTTGTAACAGCTACATTCATTCGTCTATGGTCACTTAAAAATCCCACCTGAAAATTTTAGCAAAACTCAAAGTCACTTATCATTATTTGTCATTATTGTGATGGAAAATCAAATTTCTACCTTTGAAATCCACGGGAAAATAATAAATTCAGCACTGGAGAGGATATATATATACCTCTTTCTTTGGGTTTGATCGGACCATTGAAATAATGATGGCCTCCTTTTCTCGACCCTGGAAACCATCCACTGTTGAGATTTCCATATCTTTTAGTTTATTTTCATTGCTCCTCAGCATCTTAAGCAAGACAACCTGCAGTTCCATCCATAGAAAGTTTATTAAAGGTTAAGTACTGAGTATGCTTTTGTTATTTGGCAGGTAGTATATCCTCCAATACTTGTACTGAAATTTGAAGCTTGCAGGAAAAAAATTTGTTCAATAAAAAAAGAAAAAGGAAACACAAGGTATATACCTGTGCAGCATAAGGAGCAATAATTCCAATATCAGAAGCCTGGACTCCACTCTGGACAAGTCTCTTTGCATGGGACATGGCAACTTCAGCTTCACCTTCATTCAATGTGCTATCCTCCTCATCCTTCTTTTCTTCCATGTCACAACTGAAACAGATCAGAATGAACAACTCATAACACTTGCAACTAAGGTATCTTTACTTAGCATAGCATATCAACAAAACCAGCACACAGTTATCGCTCATAACCATCAATTTCTTTTTTAGAATTTAAATCACATTCTTATTTTCAGACATCATTTATAAATTTCATATTAATGCCATAAATCCAGTTTTCAAAATTCACTTTCTAGTTGCATTATTCTTTTTTAAATAAAAATAAACATTGTTAAAGGAGAAATTAGAGAAAAGACAGTAATGGAGGATTAGAAGATTTTCTCCTACAGCCTCCTAAGTCCAGAAGGCCAAAACAGCAAATAACCAAAAAATAATACAATATCACCCCCTAATTCTGTGTAGCACATAAATATCAGTAAATTAGCCATGTGTTGGACCATCGGGAGGCCAAAAAGGTCATCCTTTCCCACAGAAACAGGAAGGAGAAAAATATCATTGAAAACTCAGTGATTCAGCTCCAACCACAGGAACCCACAAGCCCACAAACAATGCTCATCCCCAAAGAGTTTCAGCATCCTTTCTCACCCCCTCCCAATACAGGATTAGTTGTATTTATTCTTTGGTCCAAACTTTTCTATTGGGTAATTCTTCCATTTCAAACACAATTGTAACTGAAATTCATATAGCATCTCATGCATTTACAACTCCCCCTGCTCCCAATTAACTTAGAGCATTGCAATTACATGTGCATACCCAGCTGTGTCTACAAGTAGAAGAGTTGGTTCTGTTGAAGGCGACTTCTTTACATTCTCAAGATCATAAAGCATATGTGCAGAAACACTCGAGTGGGCTCTAATCTGCGAGAGTCAGCTAACTCTATATCAGAAGAGGGAAGGATAAATCTGAAGCTTTTTTTCTATTTACTAATAATTTCACTCTTAAGCAGCAGACGCAGTTGATCTAAGCACCTTACTATTGTAAAGCTCAGTAGATGACCAGTTCATAATAAGCTCATGCATACGGTACTGGACAGTAAGCATAGATGTTACTTCATCACCATAGAGATCTGCAAGGCGTTCAAAGAGTGTTCTTCCTAATCCCTTCCTCTCAGCTTCAACACTTTGGACTGTTGGAGGAAGCTGAAGATGGTCTCCAGAGAGTATGCATCTTGAACCCTGAAATTATCATAGATCCAGGTCTCAGTGTTAGTATAAAAAGCTTTTCGCCAGAGTATATCAAATTTTATCATGTACAAGACAAAAAGTTTAAATAGACAATACCTCTTCTTTACATAAAAGATGTGTTTTTGACAGTCACGTCTTTCTTAAAATAGCAAGAACAAGTAACACATATATTACACTATCATCTAAGTGAATGACAAAAGGACATGTACCTTCACTCCTTTAAGTGGAAATGCACTCAAATACACATACATACGCACTCACAAAAATCTGCATGCTTATCCTGTAAAGTACCTTCAATATAGCTATCCAGCATGCTATCTCAAGTGCCTGAGCAGCTTCATCAATAATCACCAAATCAAATGTAGTGTTGTCCAGCTTGTGAGTTAATGCACCAGTCAAAGTTGTCAGTACAATGTCAGCATTTTTTATCACATCAGTCACAGCTAACTGTTGCCTCTTACGTTCTTCTTTCGATAGACTCCTAAGTTCCCTCTGAATGTCTCTCCTTGTGTTTCTGTCTTTTGTTTTCAACAACTTCACATTTAGAGCCTAGAGAAATGAAGTAAATCAAGAGAATTGACATGAGAAAGCATAGTTAGTTAGATAAGGAACATCAGTTCTAGATGTTGAAGATTTTATGCAGCATGACTTTATCAACTCCAAGAAACATTAGCTTCCAGTCAACATAGAAAAGACTGGATTCAAGGTTTTCTCCAGATCTCTACCTTCATTTCCTTCCGGATGTCATTTGCAAGAGCACTGTTATCACCCCGTAAAACCTGACAGAAAATACCTGAATATATGTAAGGACACCACTATAATTAATAAATAAGTAGTTTTATTTTTAAAAAACAAAATAAATTTTTGCATCTGTTCCACTTCAAGATCTGAAATTCCAAGAAATAGATAACACCTAATTAACACTATCATATTTAGGAACTAAAAGACTTAAGTTTACCAAAATGAGAATGGATAATGTGCATGCATGCACACATTAGCCAAATAATTACAGTTTACAAGCAGAATTGCACGTGACAAAGGAAAAATCCGATGCTATAGATAGTGCAGAAGGAATACAAAAAGACTAGAAGTAGAAGTAAGCTATGAGCTCAGATAAACGGAAGATATATAAGAAAGGAGGGACAAGTTCAGAGAAAAGATATAGAGAGAAAGGGAAGAAAAGAGAGAAGCATTACGAGACAGTCAGTATCGGGGAGAGGTACAGTTGAGAGAGAAAGAAGGTACTGTAGAAGAAGCAGATGGAAAGAAGGAACATCTAATAAGATAGCAAAATTTCTACAGTCCAAAATGAGCTGCAGCCGGAGCACAAAGTGTGTGTGCGCTAAATAAGTATGTTGCAGTGATGCCACAAAATGGCAAAGATTAAATAGCAGCAACACCTAAAAGCAAGAGGAGAAACCACATCTCCCACCCAATAAAAAACAAAAAAAGGAAAGAAAGAAAGGAAATATTAATGAAACACCAAAAATGTATCAATCCTAAATAGAACTCTTAAAGAGTTCCAAAAAAAACCAACAATATTAAATTTTTATGGTTATTTTGGAAGCCTCTTCTGATGTAAAAAAATACATAAGATTGTCCTTTAAGTTCTGCATCAGCATGTTTATCCAATCAGGCAATAGGGTACAAATAGAAACTGCTATTTCCACTTTGGAAATTGATGGAAAGAGGCGAAAGGAAACTGATTCCATTTAAATACTAAATTTTCATACACTGCAACTAACATGACATGCATCCAAGATTAAAATAAAAAAGCCAAAAAAGGAGATAAGGATGTCATACTTCAGTTTTATGTAAAAAGATTATCTATACCTGGGCATCCAGTGCACTATCCAGTACTTGAGGCAGTAACCGAGCAGGATGTCCCAATCTCACTAACTTTACCCTAATAAAAATATTGGAAAGGGAACTCAGAGACCACATATAATGTTTAGACTAGATGAAAGCAAAAAGGAAGGGAAAAACAAAGAACTCTGAACAGTAATTTGATATCACATATCCCTTTAACAGCTTACAGGAAAATTACAGCTCAATGACACAAAGGGGATCAGAGTTGTTAAATAAGTGAAGACAATAAATTTTACCCGCATTAACGGCTAAGAAACTTCTTGAATTAGAAAACAGACCAAATAAGTCCAGCTTCTGCAGCTGCAAGAAATGAGAAAGATTTCCTCCAATAAACGGGTCATGTTGTTGGAATACTTATTAGCAGTGAAAGTACTTCAAAGCTTTCTTCCAACTACTTGGGAATTTGGAATGTGCAAATCACAGCTACTTAAATTTAGGGCAAAAAACAACAGTTAAAGTTGATTAACTCCAATAAAGAAAGAAGTTGTTGTGAATGAATCAAAAGTCAAAAGGAACTAAGGTCCTTGCATACGGGAAGAATACTTTGCTTTGCAATGACACGCATGTGCATGATTTCCAGACTGGAAAACTGACAGAACGTAAAGCACCCATTTATCACATCAAAAAAGCTTTCAACAGGGTTAACACCAACATTTCAGACAACCCTATGTCCCTAGGATGTTTTTTCCATGGATTTGTCTAGATGGGAGCCCTGAACTCTATAAATGTTACAGGCATAGGGCTTGAACGTGAGATATGGCTCAAAATTTGGGGTGGGGGCAGGTAACTATTGAAGCACAAGGCTCATATTCTATTTCCCCTTGTAGTACCTGTGTCGAACAAGTCTCTCTACAATGTTGTCTACCGCAATATTTGAAGCAGCACAAGCAAGAATCTTTGATCCACGCTTTACTTCTTGTAAGATTATTTCCACCACGGTTGTAGTTTTCCCAGTTCCAGGAGGGCCATGCAGTAAAAATACATTCTTTGATGACAAGGCCTTTGAAATGGCATCTTTCTTGAACAAAAACAAAACCAATAAGGTTAAGACAGAGAAAGAAAAGAAAGAAGGAAAGGTGCTTTAGATTGTGGTAAATGAGGCAGCATGTATCCAGCAACTGAAAGCCTAAATATATAAAGCATCTATACACATATCTCTATATTAATAATCTAAGTCAGTGCAGAGGACTTCACAGTCAAACTTTCCTGATCAGACATACATGCCTAGAAGCCATCAAAAAATATCTGAAGGGAGAAAGGAAAAATTGAATCAACATACCTGAGAGTGGTCAAGGTTGGCATTGAAGGGGGTAAATGTAACATTTTTCTTGGACACTGATGGCAGTGTCTCTCCGAATAAGACAGGAACCAAATCAGCAGCAGGTCCCTTCTGCACACCTTTACTCAATTGTATCAGGGTATCCTTCATCCTTTTATATGTCACCTGTTTAGCCAATTAAATCATGCACCTTCTCTTATAACCAAGGACTTGGAAAGAAATCTAATAGTATTTTGACGACTCAAGTGATCACATGGACAAACTAAGAATTTGACATGACTTCTTTTGTACATTTTGATGTTAGAGAAAGATTAGTTTTGACAGTCAAAACTAATTTCAAATATGGTGTTATACCAAAGTTTTTTTTTTTTTTTTAAAATAGTTATACACCAAAGTTAAACTGCGTATGGTTCTCAAAATCCATTACTACAAAAAGTGATATAGAGGCAAAAAAGATGTGACTATTGAATACAAGCAGCAAAACTAAACCTCTTCCGAATTCAGAGCACAGAAAACTTTTTTTTTTTAGGGATTCTTATCAAGTGCGCATAATTTAGAAACAAGTAAACATGAGAAGCCCATAAGACAACAAAAATCTGCAAAGTGCACCTCATTTGCTACTTTCTCCAAACGCAAAGGATTATTTAAACCCTCTTCTGGGATTTCATCAAAAGCAACAGTGATTGAGGAGTCCTGTCCAACGTGCACAGAGAATAATCACAACAAGAAATCTAACCATGATGATGGAACGAAAAAGGAAAATAGTAAAATAAGGAAACATTGTTTTAACGATAAGCACCTTTAACCGGTAAACTACACCTTGCCCAAGAGCAGGAGATCCTGGATCAGCTTTATTTGGTTTTAAAACCACCACATCATGGGTACCAAACTGCATCCCAGGAATAAAACACCATAAGTTCACAAACGGTGAGAAGGTGTAAACATTGTCCCTTATAAAGTCACCAAAAAAAGGCCAGGTGGAAAAAAATATATTCATATCATATCCTAATTTGGTACCTTGGTTGAGATTATTATGAGGTAGTGGTAGTTCATAGATACTTAGCATAAGCTTCTCATAAAGTTAACAAGAAAATGAAGAAGGAAACTGGATATAGAAGTGCACTATAGTAAAATTCTCTTATCAGCATATATTAGAAATGAATCTTATTTCTTTTTTTCTTTTCGCAAGCAAAAGAAAAGAGATACTCAAAACTGAATTTTTAAATGAATTAATAAGTACCATCCTATTGCTAATTACTTAGTCGACTAACAAATTTAAATGCATTTTTCCCAGGGAAGATAATATCATACTATCTTCTATTCATGGTATTTTGGTACGCATCAAAATGGAAGAAAGAGAGATTAAGTAGCCACTGAAATCTACCTTGCTTTACAGTTGCAAACATTTAAAAATGAACAAATTGGAAGCACTTCACATGTCATCATGTTTACTTCAACGTGAAAGAAGCCATACATCAATCCTATTTCAGTTAAACCCAGTTGATTGTAGATTGCACTAAAATTCAGATATGCACGCGAGGAATGTGGATTATAGATTTCTCACCTTGTGAGCAGGAAGAACATCTCCTTTAGTTGATTGAAACTCAAGAAGTGCTTTCCCCATGAGCCCAGTCTGTTGTCAGAATCAGAATGCAGCAGAACAAATTATAACCTAATAAGAAAGCCAAAACTATCCACTGTCCCACTTGGTTGCTAACAACATTTAGGAAATGTAAATGAAATAAAAACTACCTTAAAACTCCTTCCAGAACACCAATTTGACTTAGTCAAATAGTGCAGCTTTCCTTCTAACATGAATCAAAAGTTAGTTTTCAAAATAACATATTACCTGAGCATCAACACACTTCAAATTAAGAATTGTAGTGCCCTTCTTTTGAGCAGTGTCCAAACTTCTCGACGCGCCTGAGCTGATAGAGGCTGATATCTCAGCTTCCTGGAAACAACAATCCCAAAAAAAAAAAAGTTGAACAAAACTAGAATGCACTTGATATCACAGATTTGAAAACAACGAATTACACAATACAAATTCTTCCAGATCTTCTTCTTCTTCCTCGTTACACCGCTTTATGTTACAAGTCATTGATTAAGAATTGCAGGAACACTCAAAACATTTCAGGAAATTCTAAGCTCGCGATGCATTCTTATGCTAGGTAACTATCTACTTGGGCAGTAAATCAACTATAGCGGTGCAACGGGGAGAAATGATTTATATGATCGTGGATTAGAAGATAGTGTGTTTGTAGAAATACATAATAGAGAGAAAGAGAGAAAAAAACCTTCTCCAAGTCAATTAACGGAGCCATGGTGGAGACAAATTGTTGCAGAGAGATAGCTGATGACTTCTTGGCTGCCATCGCCGGGGCTCTTGCGATGACAGAGTAGGAGAGTCTGCGCTAGTGAGGCTGCATTTGAAGAGGGTTTTTACTTTTTAATTTTAATTTTTTTATTTTCTCAACACGTTTGATCCCTATTTTATTTCGCGTATTTTAACCGGTTTAATTTTTTTTTTATTTAAATTAATTAAAAAAAATATAACGGTCATACAATATTTTTTTTGTTAAAAAAAACGTAATAAATTTATTAAAATTTATCTCCTCATAATTTCACCAACACACTAATAAATTAAGTTCTTGATCTAATTGAATTAAATATTATAAATTAATCATTATCAATCCATACTACACCTAAAAAAATAAAAAACTTCACGTGAAATTCAAACTCGTAACTTTTAAATAAAATACATTAATAAATTAAATTAATTAAATATTATACATTAATCATTTTCAATCCATAATACAACTACAAAATTGAGAACTTTATGTTTTTAATGACATTCAAACTCCGTAACATTCAGATGAAATACAAAATTTTAACCACTAAGTTCGTGTCGTTAGCAATTTTTTTAAACAAGTGCCAAACTTGAAAAAAATAGAATTTTATGTTCTCAGTGAAGTTCAAACTCGTAACTTTTAAATAAAATATATTAATAAATTAAATTATTAATTTAATTAAATTAAATATTATAAATCAATCATTTTCAATCCATAATATAACTACAAAGTTGAAAACTCTTTTTTTTAATAAAATTCAAATTCCGTAACATTTAGATGAAATACAAAATTTTAACTACTAAATTCGTGTCGTTGGCAATTTTTTTAAACAATTACCAAACTTGAAAAAAATAGAACTTTATGTTCTCAATGAAATTCAAACTCGTAACTTTTAAATAAAATATATTAATAAATTAAATTATTAATTTAATTAAATTAAATATTATAAATCAATCATTTTCAATCCATAATATAACTACAAAGTTGAAAACTCTTTTTTTTAATAAAATTCAAATTCCGTAACATTCAGATGAAATGCAAAAATTTAACTACTAAATTCGTGTCGTTGGCAATTTTTTTAAACAATTACCAAACTTGAAAAAAATAGAACTTTATGTTCTCAATGAAATTCAAACTCATTTTCAATCTATAATATAACTACAAAGTTGAAAACTCTTTTTTTTAATAAAATTCAAATTCCGTAACATTCAGATGAAATGCAAAATTTTAACTACTAAATTCGTGTCGTTGGCAATTTTTTTAAACAATTACCAAACTTGAAAAAAATTAAACTTTATCTTCTAAATGAAATTCAAACTCGTAACTTTTAAATAAAATATATTAATAAATTAAATTATTAATTTAATTAAATTAAATATTATAAATAAATCATTTTTAATCTATAATAAAACTACAAAGTTGAAAACTCTCTTTTTTTTAATAAAATTCAAACTCCGTAACATTAAGATGAAATACAAAATTTTAACCACTAAATTCGTGTCGTTGGCAATTTTTTTAAACAAGTACCAAACTTGAAAAAAATAGAATTTTATGTTTTCAATGAAGTTTAAACTCGTAATTTTTAAATAAAATATATTAATAAATTAAATTATTGATTCAATTAAATTAAACATTATAAATCAATCATTTTCAATCTATAATATAACTACAAAATTGAGAACTCTATTTTTTTTAATAAAATTCAAACTCCGTAACATTAAGATGAAATACAAAATTTTAACCACTAAGTTCGTATTATTGGCAATTTTTTTTTAAACAAGTACCAAACTTGAAAAAACTGATTTAATAATTTGACTATTTTTTACTTTTTCAGTTGTGAATTTTGCATATTTTAGTAGTTAGAACTCAAAGCTCTGTAAAAATAGCTTTTAATAATTAATAATTTGATGTAAAATAACAAAAATTAAACAACAATCACAAAAAAAATTGTTGAACTTTTAACTTTGATAAGTCCAAACCTGGGCATGAATGTGTTTTCTGCCATCATAAGTTTAAAGAAATCATTGGATTCAAATTAAAAACTGAGAATCACCATTAAAAGTTCTTCCTGAAAATTTCATCTACCATATTGAACTTATTTTTATCTTACAAGAAAAGGGTATCCTCCTATTTGGGGAACCAAGCTCCATCTCTAATTTCGGAATCATTGATTCCATATATCTCAGAACCAATGTGAATATTGGAATCTAATCAGGAAGGTTAATTCAAATCCATAAATGTAGGATTCAAATGAAGTACAACAAAATCAGCTCCAAGAAGTTACTTGAAAATAAGGGCATCGCGGCCGGGGCCGACACCAATATAATGGACGGGTATGCCAACAAGTTCTTCAATCCTCTCTACATACTGCCTGGCGGCCTTTGGAAGATCTTCGTAATTTCTGACGGAAGAAATATCACACTTCCAGCCTGGTAATACTTCGTATTCAACCTAAAACAAGCATATAAAACGAATAACAACATTAATAAGAAAACTCTAAGAACAACGAAACAATAGAACTTTTGAGAGGATTGAAATGAAGATATATAATATATAAAATCAAGGATAAATGGTTTCATTATTTTGAGTTTTTGATTTTGGATCATAACTTATATAGGATAGAAGATTTTGGGAATATTGTTGATCTAACAGATTTGTAAATATCTTGTAAATGGACGACACCTCCTTCGTGCTGTTGATTTAATATACATCTTATACTTTTTATTTCAAAAAAAAATATAAGAACAACATGGCCCATTTTTACGAAGTCTAAGTGCGCGTTTGAAGACCCCATAATTTAAATTATTGATTATTAATTGATGATTCCACCTTATCTCTGCCCTTTGAGCAACTTGGATTACTCCAAGATTAGTTCCGTAAATTGGCAGAGAAAGAAATAATCATCTACGTACATGAGTTGGCACTCCATTGCTGCCCTTCAAGTGAATAGGATTCATTCTTATTATAATGCTCTTGACTAAAGATACAATCCCAACAATTATTGACAACAAACTCAGATAGTTTCTGTAAAGAAAACTTACTTTCAATTGTTCAAGAAGACGAAGATCAGAAGGAAAAGATTTGACAGGTGTACCATCAATCTGCTTATAAGCAACACCTAACTGAATCTCAGGAAGATCAGACAAGACATCTAGTTTGGTAAGATTGAGAGAAGAGAAGCCATTAATCTGGCAGCAGTAGTTCAGTGCAA